CAACATTAACTTATTTGATTTTTCACCACGTGGTTTTTTCTTCACGGGGCAACCCCTTTATCCCCCAAAACTTTCAAATTTTTTTAAAGGAAGTTTTCGATTCGACATTCCAAAAAGGTTTCAAATGTTTCTTAAAAAATTTTTTTCGGTAAAGTTGTGATGCACCCTTTTCCAAAACTTTCTTTTGTGAAAGGGAGTATACGCCCATATCAACTCCTCCACATTTATTTTTAATAAATTTTAAAAGATCTTTATCGGATGAAAAAAAGGGCCGAAAAGTTCTATTTCTCTCATCTGAAGCTTTTTCCCAATTTATATTATATAAATTTGAAAATGTTTTTTTAAAATCAAAATAAAAATTCAATTTCACATAAAAAAGAAGCTTTTAATCGGCCCGTGTCTAAAAAACATTTAAAAAATCATCATCTAATATTTCAACAAAATGATACTAAATCTAAGACTCCTACTGTTAGACATACATAAAACTATCAATGTATGATAAATATTATCGTTATGAGACATATGAGTTACTGGGCACACTAAACAAAAATCGGCAGCGTATTCACAGCACAATAGATTACAATCAAAACATAAATCGCAACAACAACATACGACGAAAAATTGGTCGGGCATTGCATTCACTGTGCATTATAATCGGCAATGAATACAGTCAACACAAAGCCGTGATTGTGAATACATGTTATACAAATCGGTTTCAATTTATTAATTGTAAGTTGAAAATGCAAAGTTTTGAATGGTTACTGATGGCCGCAAAATATATCTGAAAAATAAAACCTATATTGGTTATTTGAGATCTGCACTTGAATACCAGCGATCCTATCATCATCAATACATAGAGGTGTTACACTATTGTCAAATCGTATTGTCACCCTCCTTTACCAGATCGTAATCTCCACTATTTTACAAAACCTGTATTGATAATTATATAATCCCATGCTTATTACTATCAATAAAATGTTAAATCGTGGGACATTAAGCCAGTGCTTTGAAACTCCACAAAAAAGTCAATATGTCATGTTTAAGAATACCGCTGAGATATGAGGCACTTGACATTAACCCCGTTGCATTCCAAGTCATTATGTTAATACCCATTTTATAATTTGTTACACATTATTAAATAGTAGCCATACTGAAATGACATTTATTGGATAACAGTTAGTTCAATATCACTTAGAATGCGATAACGATTTGATGTTTACTGTTTTCCCGCACATTAAAACTGTGACGACCGAAACGCCCTAGAAGTGTCGTTTTTCATCTGCGAACTAGAAGCGTCCGCGTTCATGTTTCTTGATCTACGGCGGGCGTCCCTTGACATCCATGGAATACATCGCACTGGTGAAGGCCAGAAACCGTTTTTCATTTTTCATTACAAGATCAGAGTATTCATCGGCTGCAATATTCAGCCGGACAAGCACTTTATTACGACTTTTACGCATGGGAAATGTCCGAATCGTAAAACCTTGGGTCCACAATCAGATTTATATCACGAAAATGAAATCCGCCATTGGATATAAAATGAACAGACGAAAGACATTGTTCATTATGAACTTTGATTGGCATGCTAGAGATTAGAATATTACTTGTTATTTCTTTATGATTGTGATTATTAATAACAACAGATATACATGTATACAATCATTTATAATCCACATGTTGTAACGGCATGATCAACACGACACTTGTGGAATTGTCCCCTTATTATGTTATCGCTTTTAGCGAAGACCTCTTCTTAAGCAGTATTCTAGTTCACACTTAGTAAAAAAAATAAGACACTGATTATTTTATCATGTTGATCATGTTGAGCATAATTGTTTATTATACAATAATTTTAATATCTATTTTAAAATAAAAATACAGATTTTATGAATATTGTTTTCCTCTCTTTTTTGTGTTATATGTGCTATTTTAATACTGAGTTTTTTTATGTTTAATACTCTTTTTTATTAAAATTGTAAAATAAATTTTAAGAATTCAATTGTCATATTGACCGACGATTATAAGTCAAAACTTAACTGGAAAAAGTCAGTAAATTATGGTTAATCCTTCAAGATATAAAATTAATTTTTTTTAAACCATGTACATGTACATTGGCAATTTTTCTTTATCATTTTTTAAATTATCAATCGATGGAATAATTCATTAAAAATCTTATTTGTAGACTTTGCATAATTCCTCGGCATCTTTTACTAAACACGAGTAACAAAATTAAATAAAAATGTTTTCAAAGTTGATATAGTGTCATATTAATACCATAAAATGTAAACTTTTTCTCAATTATTGTACATATTTATTGTTTCATCTCATATAGATAAATAAACATGCTAATTGTTTTTGTTTTTTTTTAATTGTATGTTTATGTATAATAATAATCAATAAATTTGAGAGTTGATCTATGTTTATTAATTTATTGTAAACTAAGTGACAAACATTCATTTTGGGAAAAAATTTTTTTTATCTGTAAATATTTGTTCATCAAACATCTACTCCAAAACCGGGGAGAGAGACCGATATAGTAAATCCCGGTCAAAAATAGACCGGGCGAGACCCGGAAATTACCGATAGGAGTACATCCTCTATAAATAGATTTTCGGAATGTTTAGGTCAATCAACTCATTCGCGTCCGCGCCGAAACGCAGCGCCCTTATTGAATGAAATCAGATTTTGTGAAAGGGCGACAGCACTTTCTCGAGCCTTATAGTCGGTCATAATAAAAACCGATCATTCCGATCGGCATGAGGGGCTTGATTAAAAAAAATGTATCGATATGGTAAATTGTTATTGTATTTTTAACATACCATAATAATCCACTGTGTACTAAAAATGATAAATAAAAAACCCCGAAGAGACGGAAAAAGTCATTTCATTTGAAAATGTTTGCATTGCGAAATTCCTCCAGATCGCTATTCCTTTTTTTAATGCGTTTATTTAAGGTCGCCGCCGGAAAGCCCATATGGGCGACCGTACACTCAAGTCGGGTCATCCTAGAGCGTCCCGCCGAGATTTTTCGTCGTTTTTTTCCAGCTTTACTGGTAGAGGAAGACCCCAGGTTTTTTTTTTTTTTTTTTTTTTCATGCGTTTATTTAAGGTCGCCTGCCGGAAAGTCCATATGGGCGACCGTACACTCAAGTCGGGTCATCCTAGAGCGTCCCGCCGAGATTTTTCACAGGTGCCCCTCCGGACATTATTTCAGGTACGAGCGGGCACCTGGGTAGAACCACCGACCTTCCGTAAGCAGTCCAGCTGGATGGCTTCCTCACATGAAAGATTTCGACCCGAGTGAGGATCGAACCTACAGTGGTGAGGGACCTGTGATCTCAAGTCAGCGACTTTAACCACTCGGCCACGGAGGCCCCTAGTTCGCTATTCATTGTACATATCGCGACTTGATAATAATCAAGCCACCTTCATACCGATCGGAATGATCGGCCTTTTATCATGAGCGACTAAAAGGCTCGAGAAGTTGCTGTCGTCCTTTCACAAAATCTCATTTCATTCCATAAAGGCGCCGCGCTTCGGCGCAGTCGCCAAAAAATGTGAAATACAATAGGCAGATATTATCGTGTTACTTAGATTTAGAAGTCAAGTCAATTTAACGTACTACTCAGGATGAACCTACATTTCAATCGATCTTCTACCTTCATGGTATTAAAATATCATTTCTATATATTATTCTAATGAATGTCTCACTTAGTAATTCATTAATGCTTAAAAGCCGTAAACGAAATACAAATTATTTAGAAAAAAATAAGTTTTTCAATAACCACACAAAGCGCGACATGAATACTTGCTAACAATTAGTGATTTTACGATACCTTTGCAATATCTATTGTCGCCGTTCCTGGCCGCCGACTTATACAATTAAAAAGATTTAATTATTTTTACACGTAAACCACCTTTTCGAAGGTTATCAGAATAAATAATTTTATTACCACATGATAACAAAATGGACGATAAGAAGGGGCAGGGAGCGCCTACGGAGTACCACGGCCCGCAAGATTTTGTCAATTTACCTACATATATCATCGTGTAATTTATTTTTTGAAGAATTGAATTCTCATTTGATAGCTAAATTATGTTTAGAACTAATACAATTCCTATGAGAATTTAACCTTTAATATCAAATTTGTCAAGAAATTTGTTCTGCTCTTATCGGAATATGTATTATAACATCTTTTCAGTGTAGTTATTTTATTGGTATTATAGATATTGTTTGAGCATGACCAAAATAGAATAAAGTCAAAAACATTCACATATTTATAATTATGCCTTGCTTATAAAAAGGAGCAATCTCGCAATTAAGACCACGTTTGTTTGTCTAAATAGAAGGTATTTACTGTATTTAATTTAGCAATTCTAACTATATTTTTAAACAAATGTTTGAAAAATTGAAATAAGATGCATAATCTCAATAAGACTCCGAATCCACATACATGCACACCATAACAAGAGATAACTTTGAGTTTATAGAAGATCCAAAAATTATGCATACTCTCCACAAAATCATGCATTTATACACCATGTATTATCAACAAAGATTTCTTTCTTTCTGCGTTTATGCCTTTCTCAGAATGACGAATGTACAAAAAGTGAATTAAGTTAAAGTTAAACTATGATAACAAGTTTAGTTAATTCGATAAATATGATGCTTCATATTTCTGAGGTGATACAAAATAAATGATGTGTTAAATATTTACAATTCTTTTTTTTTTGTCATTTGAATTCCCATATTTCAGTTTTAACCCTCCATTCAAATAAGAGATGTGTAAGTGACACAGAAATTAAAGTTGCTAAAGTAGTTGTCGAATATAAAACAACATTTTCATTGTCAGACAAATACATTAAATAAAAAACAATATCAACAATGCCTATGTTTGATTTGATCTGTTAATTTCATCCCTGTGCTAAAGAACAAAGCAATATTTTGAATGTTGTTTCTATTGTTGTTGTTGTTGTTGTTGTTGCTTCTTTTGCTAATGTTGGCCTCTGAAATATAAACATATTTTGGCATTTCATCCAAGGCGAAGCTCATTCCAATTCATGAAATATTTTTTAAAATTTAATTTTATTTGCAGAAACTATATAAGTTAATTCTTACTTCCTTTCCGCTTCTAATTTCATTTTCTGCATTTCCTGTTCATATCTCATTTGCTCTCGTTCCTTTTCTTGTTCAAATTTCGCTCTGTAATTACAAGATTAAATGTTTCTCTACTAGCATGAAACAATGGAAAGAAAATATCCTTTTCATCATAGCTGTTTGCATTAAATTAGATATTATATTATTAAGTAGTTTGTTGATTTTACTCTAAATTTCTATTTGCAATATTCCATATGTGACTCTTTCAATAATGCTGCAAATACTGTGTAGGATAACAACAAATTATAAAAATAGTAATAGGGACACCTAAAAAATATACTAAAAAATAAAAGTTGTCTTTGAAATGGTCAGCTGTGTACTGTATACATTTAGAAGATCTGAATGAAATGCTACAAAGACGAATGTCTTTTTAGACGTGCGAAGTTGTTGTAAATTAAAGGGCTGTACGACACGAAAATTCTATTACGTTCGTATTAGTATACTGTTACAGGACGTACGTTTCAATTAATGTCATAATGTGCGAGGAATCCAACATGCGTCCTTACTTATATATAGAAAGCGTTGCTCGTAATAGCTTATCATAACGCCTTGAACTTTAATTAAATATATCCCAATTAAACGATATGTAAACAAATAATAAGCAAGTAACCAACTATAAAACATCAAATTGAGCATAAAGTAGTATATAAGACATGAGACCCGTTACCAAACCTAACCAAGATAAAACAGCACACTTGTGACCTCGCTTTACTATATAAATTGGCGGCTATTTAAGTTTTGAAACCATGTCCGCATAGCACTATCCAAAATCATATCAAAAGAAAATAAGAACCGGTTGAGCCGGGTGATGCTCTCCGATAAGGTTTTGAACACAGGAAAGTATAAAAAATGAACAAAGGGCAAACACTCCAAAATAAGGCAAGATGAAGTTATGTTTTTTTGCACTGCATTTCTATTCAATGAGATCTATCTATCTATCTATCTATCTATCTATCTATCTATCTATCTATCTATCTATCTATCCTATCTATCTATCTATCTATCTATCTATCTATCTATCTATCTATCTATCTATCTATCTATCTATCTATCTATCTATCTATCTATCTATCTATCTATCTATCTATCTATCTATCTATCTATCTATCTATCTATCTATCTATCTATCTATCTATCTATCTATCTATCTATCTATCTATCTATCTATCTATCTATCTATCTATCTATCTATCTATCTATCTATCTATCTATCTATCTATCTATCTATCTATCTATCTATCTATCTATCTATCTATCTATCTATCTATCTATCTATCTATCTATCTATCTATCTATCTATCTATCGATCTATCTATCGATCTATCTATCTATCTATCTATCTATAAATTTTCCTGATGATATCTCTTATAGTTTCAGAGTTAAATCCCGGACAAAAGTCCAAGTAAAAGAATGAACAAATGGCAATAACTCCAAAAAATAGACAAGGCTTTGTTTATGTTCTTTAAGCATTGCAGTTCTATCCAATGATATCTAGCTTCGTACAAAGTTTCATGTTGATATCTCTAATAGTTTTAGAGTTATGTCCCGGAAAAAAGTCAAAAATTAAAAGTAAACAAAGTGAAATAACTTCAAAATAAGGCAAGGCATAGTTATGATTCTTTAGCACTGCACTTCTTCCCAATGAGACCTCTTTATCTACAAAGTTTCATGTTTATATCTTTTATAATTTTTAGTAATGTACCAGACAAATTTCAAAGTGTCAAAATGAACAAAAGGCAATAACTCCAACATAAGGTAAGACAGAGTTACGGTTTTTGTGCATTGCAAACCTACTTAATAAGATCTACAAAGTTTCATGTTGATACCTCTTATAGTTTTAGAGATATGTCCCGGACAAAGTTCACAGTGTGAAAATAAACAAGGGGGAATTATTCAAAACATAGGCAAGGCAGAGTTACCGTTCTTATGCACTGGACACCTACTCAATGAGATCTATCTATCTACAAAGTTTCAGGTTGATACCTCTTATAGTGTTAGAGTTATGACCCGGACAAAGTTCAAAGTGTAAAAATTAACAAAGGGGAATAATTAAAAAATTAGGCAAGGCAGAGTTACGGTTTTTGTGCACTGCACACCGACTTAATGAGATCTATCTACCTACAAAGTTTCATGTTTATACCTTTTAGATTTTTAAGAGTTATGTCCGGGACAAAGTTCAAAAAGTAAAATAAACAAAATGGGATAATTTAAAAAATTAGGGAAGGCAGAGTTACGGTTCTTGTGCACTGCACATCTACTTAATAAGATATATCTACCTACAAATATTCATGTTGATACCTCTTATAGTTTTAGAGTTATGTCCCGGACATTGTTTAAAGTGTTAAATAAACAAAGGGGAATAATTAAAAAAGAAGGCAAAGCAGGGTTACGGTTCTTGTGCACTGCAGACCTACTCATTTAGATCTATCTACCTACAAAGTTTCATGTTCATACCTCTGATACTTTTAGAGTTATGTTCCGGACAATGTTCAAAGTGTAAAATAAACAAAGGGGGATAATTCAAAAATTAGGCAAGGCAGAGTGACGGTTCTTGTGCACCTACTCAATAAGATCTATCTACCGACAAAGTTTCATGTTGATACCTTTTGTTGTTTCAAAGTTTTGTCCCGGACAAGAAAAGCAGACGGACGGACGGACAAGGCGGCGACTATATGCTCCCCAGAAACTTTTCGGGGAGCATAAAATACAAAAGTTTAAAGATAAACAGGTTCGGCTTTGCAGCCGGAAAACATATGCAAGTTAATCAGTTTTAATTCAACCGAGTATTTGTTTTAAATATACATGTACTTCTAAATAATCAAGGATTTTCGCGATACCTGGTAAAGAATATTTTGTTTTACATGAAAACCAACAATTGTTGTATTCGTTCTATGCTTTTAACACTTAATTGGATAGAGTTCAGTAGTTAGCATTACCAAAAATAAATTGACCAAACGGTTCTTGACGAACGCTAAATATAATTAACATCAACCTTTACTAAATATTCAAATATGTGCTATGTTTGGTCAGTAAGTATATAAGTAAAAATGACTTCCCATACACAAATTCATAATATGTTTTGGCCAGTTTGAAACTATATTTGGATAAATTTTCTGTGAAATTATTCAAATGTAATTCCAACGTCAACTAAAACTACTAATTTATGATTTTTCGTATAAATTTAGTAAAGAGGTAGTTCGGCTAAAGTGATACTAAAATCCATAATATATTTCAATAACTAAATTGTAAAAATAAAAGTTCACTATTGTTTTTGTTTAGTGCCGCTCATTGTTTTTTTCATTTAGAGAATATGCTATATTTCAGTTTGGGACCATACGCCGCTTTTCATGGAATGGCATGCGTCATATTGAAGGTTGCATGATAACCGCCGTACAAATACTTCTGCAGATGTTTCTAAATTCAAAATGTTACAAATTCCGTGTTTAAATGTTGAATTCTGAATAAGCCAGTGCTAGCGGGCGTGGACGGTAACTTGCACTTTTTATCCTTTATTTCACCGTCCATGAACAGGCTGAATCAACCTGAGCCTGCAACATTTTGAATCGTTCTTCGGGTATTTCGGGTATTTCGCTTTGCTTAATTTTTAGTTAGAAATTGCAATTTAGTCATATACAATAAGAAGCGAATAAACATTAACCATAATAATATCAAATATTTGCTTTGTTATTAAGGAGGGACTGTAATAGATAAATTTTAAAATGAGTTTGATTCATAATGATTAACAATTCACTGATACGTTTTCGCCGCTTCTTTCCACTGATGCATTTTTATGCAATTTCGTGAAAAAATGTAATCTAATTGAAACCTTTTACGATCTGACAGAATTGCTTTCGAACAAGGAATATCAAAAGAATTATTTCTTAGGTACTTACTTTTCTGATTCCATTTGATTGCACTGGTACATCTCTGTCTTCGAGCTATGACTATGATTGCTGTTACAGTAATAGTAGCCCATGAACACGTGTCTAGCCATTTTTCGGTGTATGCGACTGTAACTGATGAATAAAACTAGCTTAAAAGTTGCATGCGTTTACTGATCTCTACTATACTTTCGACAAAGATGTTTAATTTATGAACAGAACTATTCTGTTATCTTCTTATTAAACCGCTTCTTATCAATTAATTGGAATATTAAACTTCAAAACAGTGAAAGCACATTAGAACGTCATTATTAATACATATGTATTTTAAACAACAATTTTTTAATACAATTGCAGGAAAACGATTTTTAATAATGAAAAAATGATAGCAAAAGTTCAAGTTTTTTTAAGTTCTTTCTAGAAACGATTTCTTTTTGTGCTTTAAATTTATGTCCGTCTTAATCTTTGTATTTGTTCTTGTGTATAGTTTGTAAACATGTTTTCGTTTCTATATATAATAATGTTTCAATGATGTCATTTAATAATGTTAATCAACCCTTTTGCCCTTTGCTTAAATTGTTTTTTTAATGAGAAATTAATGTTCTTAAATAGTTTCGAAGAGCAATAAAAAATCATAAAACTAATTCCTTAAAATATCAAACTTTTGGATCCAAAGAAATTATTTGCTGATATTTGATCTTATTCAATAGGGTATAGTGTATTTGCTTTTATGATAAATAATTTAAATATCAGTAAATTACTGATTAAAAATATCACTATAAATGTATAAAATCGTCAATTTTATGTATGGTATAGAGGATATTTGTTTAGTTCAGTGTAAGATAAGAATATATTTCACCGAGTGAGCACCAAAAGATATATTTCACGAGTGGCGCAGCCACGAGTGAAATATGAACTTTTGGTGTTCACAAATTTTCTTTTTATTACATGCAAAGAAACGTTTTAAAAAGACACTAAACCTAATACTGAATGAAAAGCGCGCCAAATAATAATACAACGTGACATCATTTACGACGTCACGTTATTAAGTTGGTACCCAGTACTGTGCACGCTGGTATTTCACTGAAACAACGTAAGGGGCTTAAATTAAAAACCGTGAAATTATTAAAGTGGTAATTTCACTGTTTCAAACAGTGAAATTATCAATTTTATTTTAGTTATATTTAGAGGATATTTGTTTGTTTTGCATGTAAACTTGAAATATAGATTCACTGAGTGAACACCAGATGCAATATTTTCACGAGTGGCGTAGCCACGAGTGAAAATATAATAGCTGGTGTTCACGAATAAAATATACTTCAATCTAATATTTAAAACAAATAAATTTTCTTTTTATTTCATGCATTTTAAGTGATTTTAAGTATTTTTTACTGATTTTGCCGCGTAACGTCGCGCATTCTCCTTTGTGACGTCATCACATCGTGACGTCACATCATCAATTTTGAAATATAGTTCTGTTAAATTTCTCTAACTTTGTTACATTTTTAACATGATGTATGGTGACATCGACTTTCTTTTCCTAAAGAAGCAAAATTTACGTATAACAGCATTTATTTCTGCCTGTTATTCCATTTAGTTTGATTTTCTTTTCATCCGCATTCAGATATATAGTCCGGCTACTGTGAAAATTATATTTTATAAATTTCACTAGTGGTTTATCAGAATAAAATAATCTGATATATTACAATAAAACACTGGAAAGCATGAAATAAATTTCTATAAACCACCGAAAAGCATGTAATAAATGTATGATGTAAATATTATATGTTATTTTGGTTTTGGAGTGATATATGTGGATATATTACCTGCTAAGATTTTATATCACCCGAGCCGTTAGGCGAGGGTGATATTTTATCTTGGCAGGTAATATATCCACATAAAATATATCACTCCAAAACCAAAATAATAATTTTATTACCTTTCCCCTCCCGAGTTAAGAAATCATTGTTGTTTCAAATGAAACGTCAAAATAAGATTCCCTTTAGGATACCCCTTCATCACAACATGACGTCACATAAATACATGACGTATTTTTCCCGTGCCTAACGAATGTAAACAAGGGAAAAGGAGTAGTCTATTGAACCCACTTTTTTGTAATTAATATCAAGCTTTCACAAGGTCATATTTGTTTTCAATACTGATGAGAATATGTATCATTACTTTACTTTGGTAAACATATATCATTTGACAGTTAAAAAGTGCTTGTAAATCGGAATTTACATCGCGTAAAATCGGACCGTACGCGCATCACCTCAGCGCATGTTGTTTACAACGTGGAATACCCAACGGGGAAATTTAGTGTGTACATTACCCGTCTGGCTCGGTAATATCAATTTCTTTCGGGTGATCAATAACCAATCAAAATGGCGGAAAAAATCTGGAAGGGTAATAAATATGTATATATGTTTCTTTTTTTGTTTACTTTAACGTCGTACTAACAAAGTGGATACATAAACTAACGAATTAAATGATACTGGTCAGCAAATGTCACAAAAAATATACATCATGTATTGAATTGCTAGCTAAAACATATTGTTATTTTCCGATCAGGTTGTTTTGTTTACAACAGATATAAATAGTCTACAAACTCAAGTGACTTTAATTTCAAGATATTTCTGTAAAGTAACTGGGGACTGGAAATCAATGTTGCTCAAAATAAAGTATGTGTTTATGAAAAACTTAAAACTACGAGAAACATTTCTATTAAAATTAATGATGAATCCGTTGAATATGTATCCACTTATTTTGGGAGTAACATTTTCATGCACGGGTGACTTTAAAATAGCCAATTAAAGGTTTTGTCTGAATAAGCTTTGAAAAATCTAAATCATAATCTTTTATTTGTGTTTAAGTTAAAATTGTTGAATTTGTTATACGTATAAGCAACATTACCACTTTTTGATAGTATATAGATTTTACTTAATGACTCAGAGATTTGGGGCGCATTTGATTGCAAAGAAGTTGACCAATTACATATCAAATTTTGTAAAAATATTGTTGTTGAAAAGGAAATCGAACAACGCAGTTCTCAGAGAACTTGGAAGATTCCCGTTAAATAGTTTGTCTAGAAAGAACATTAAAATATTGACTAAAAATAAAAAAACAACTCGTACAACAATTGTTTAGTATTTAAAGTATTCAAAATAATAACTTTAGAAGACTACAAATATACACACATTAATTTAATAATTATGGTTTTCAAATTGTATAGAGAATTTTGAAAATGATATAAAGCTTTTGGACCGGAGTACCACTTTCATGTATTTTGTCCATCATACATAGATTTAAGAGTCAAATAAAGATTTGAATATTATTTTCAAAATCTAATATTGAGTTATGACAAATATAAAAACAAAACATTTATATCCTTGAGGCAATATTTTGAGGGATGCACTGAAGACGCAAGAAACAATTATAGAAAAACTTAGGAGTTAACCTATCAGGATTCAAACACAATATGTGGTTTTCTGTGCATAACGATCACTAAATGCAGCGTTTTTCTTTTGTTATATTTATTACTTTGTCTTTGCCATACCATATTTATATTTATGTTTATATTGCCAATGGCAGATATCTGCCAAATTGTAAAAATTTGATTGGTTAAATTAGAATTATTCATTGTTAAGTTAAGCGGAATTGTCTATATATTGACTGCTATAATGGTGATTGACCAACAGTTGATATTTGAAAATCTTTAGGATTAAATATAGTCCTGACCTTAATATAAAAAGATTGCCCCCTCTTTTTAGCTCACCTGAGTAAGTTCAGGGTGAGCTTTAAGGATCGTTGAATGTCCGTAGTTCGTCGGACGTCGTCCTTCCTCTGTCGTCCGTAATCCGTCGTTCGTCTAACACTCTAGTTGTCACTTTTTTGTAACAATCGTCATCAAACTTAGTCAGGATGCTAGTCTAGGTAATTGCTCACCTAAGTTCGTACATGGGTCATCTCGGATGTCAAACTAGATCACAGGAGCTAAAAATATATAAATCTTGTTAATACTCTAGTGGCTACTGTTTTTATCCAAATATTCTGGAAATTGGTTTTCAAGTTTGTTTTGATGATTTCTAGATCAAGTGTGAAAAAGAGTCACCTGAGGTCATTAACTAAGTCACACTGGCCAAATATGGAAAAACTTTTTTAACCTGGTCAGGATGCTTGACTTAGTAATTGCTTGGATAAATGAGTCAGGAGAGCAATCTAGGGCCATCTTGAGCCTCTTGGTATATAATGAAACTTTACAGGTAATTTAAGATGGATATTTACAGAATTTCTTTTGGTCACGTGTGTAATTTATCGTTCATGCATTGCAAATAATAAAATTGAAAGGAAAATATTGACATTAACCTCTTCACTTACTATATACCCTTGGATGGGCATGATGTCACTTATATATGGAAAAAATTTTCTTTACTTATGACTATGTACAAACATGTTTAAACCAATATCTTCTATATATCATTAATATTGATTGAAAAAAAGACACGCAGTAAAAGATAATGCATAATGTACATGCAAACGTATTTTTCTTTGACCAAACGTTTTCATAAAATGAATACTTAATAATATTTATACTTTATGTATATCAAACAAAAGTGAAAAATAAAGTGAAAAATAAGGCACAAGTTTGTCAACAAAATCTAATATTCAAAGCTATGAATTCAGGGTAATAGTCCTAACTACTTTGCAAAAACAATCTCTGAGTTGAAATAGGTTAAGTAAAGCCTAATACGTCTTAGTCTTATGACAACATTTTACATCGGTTTTTATTTTGTAAACTCTATACTGTCTATTATTAGATGAAAAAATTCAATTACAAACTGATAAAACATACAACCAGGGTATCCCTGATAAACACTGACAAGATAGTTATATTTCGCTTCTTACTACTGTTAACTTCCCTTTCCCTTTCAATGTCAACATTCCGAACAGCTTGCTCTTTAAATTGTTATTGCAACATGGTTTCAGAAATCTTATTTTGTCACTTAAGTCAAAAAATAAATTCCCAACTCAAATCTAGACCGACCATCAAGCTTGTTAATTGAATATTGTGTAAATTTGGAATGATGTTAAAATTATCAATCCAAAGTTTATTAGTGTAAACGATTGAAATAAAAGTAGTTTGTGTTTAAGACTTTTAATGTAGAAAATATTTCTAGAAGTAGTAGGGCAAAGATTTAAAGATAATATCGTCAAAATTGTTCACCATGACCATTATGCCCTAGAACTACGTATAGCAGTTTTCAAGACTGAAGAATGTCTAGATCACATTACATTTAATAACTTATTGTTTTTCATTGATAAGATTAAGAGTGCCTTCTCCCAGACTGCAAATGGGTGTCATCTTTAGATATTCAATAGTTCAATGTTCTATTTGTTTCTATAATTACAAAAAAAAGAAAACATTATGTCATTCTGATAAACAGTTATAGTATATGAAACTCGTTAGTAACGGGGGTATAACACTGATTGGAGCGACATCTCGTGATGTTTCTGAAAAAAAATTGTCTCGGACTAACGGCCTCGCCATTTTTTTTAGCAGAAACACCCCTGGATGTCGCCCCAGCCCATTGTTATATCCTCGTAACTAATTCAATTCATGTACTATAACTATTACATATTTCACCTTACATATTTTCATATTACATGTTCAATGTTATATATAATGTACTGCTTTTTGTGATCTTGCATATGTTTGTTATTTAATCATTCTCTTCAATTCTGGATAGAAAGTATCTATCTATCTATCTACATAGAAAGTAAGAATTTAATAATATATGTGAGTCACCATTAAAGGCTTTCTTTCTATTGTCATATAACTTTATACGTTTCTATGACAAAATTTATACCTTTTAGAAATTAAGATATCCATTGAATATCTAAAGATGACACCCGCCTCATTAAATTTAGATAAAGGTAATGCATACTACTTCCTATTTTGCTGCAACCATTTACATGTAATTTGTTTCGGCAGACCGATAGCATAATTAATTTATGTTCTCTAGAACTGCCAGGAATAATGTATACATGAAGAAATCATGCTTAGATATTAAATTAAAAGCGTACTTTTATCCTGTCAGTAAATGCTCTACATCAAGTATGTTTTCAGTCATTCCAATGAAATGGAAAAAAAAAACAACAATCAAACAAACCCAAAAACCCAAACAAACACAAAAAAACCTCACAAGAAACGGAGGTAAGAAAACTATCTCTTGAACTAAAAATACACTCTTAACCACCGTTATATAACCAAATGTGTATGCAAATGATACGCGTACTATGCTTCATAATGATTTACACACTTATTGACTAATAAAGTACGCTAAAACAGGCCGTAATTTAGCACAAGAAACACACTGGCAGTAACAAAAGTTATCATAAGAACTCCAGGACATATTTTGAGTTATCACAAGAACTCCGTGACATTTGAAAAATCGGGTATAAATTTATTAGCCAGGGCTTTATGTTTGCAACTCTGCATTATAATTATGTAATTATGTATAGCAACGAAGAAGATCACAAATGAAAAGATCAATATGTACAAATGAGCAAGTAATTTGGAAATTTTACTCAAAACTATTAATTTTTCTATAAAAAGGCGATGGAAAATGGAATAAAAGGTTTTTCTGAAACATTATACAATATGTAGGGCAAGCTTAATTATCAAAGTTTAATTTAGCACCCCAAACTCCCCATTTAAAGGTAAAAATGACCATTTTTCACGTGAGTTCTCCAAGTAAATAGAAAAGTTTTCCACAGAAATCCGTAACGTTTTACAGGAACTCCGTGACAGTTATCATAAGAACATGTCGAAATTTCCGAGTCCCGGGATGTATTGACCGGTCAAAGTCTATTACCCGGGACCCGGATTCCATAAGTTTGTCAAATTCCCGCCAGAAATGGTCTTCTGTCTAAATCCCCGTATATATAAAATATTGACAAGTGAATAAATACAATATGTGTATACAGATAGTTAAGTTGTCTATAATTGTTGAAAAATTTAGGTGCCTGTATGTGTGCTATTGTTTGGCATTTTACCAGGAAGGGCTTATTGCCTAAAGAAAAATTTAACTTGCTAAACTTTTAATTATCGGTTAAACATCTCATGAATTTTGGACAACGCCAGAATCAAGTTTAACAGATGGTTAAACCCTACTTTGTAAGACATGCAGTATTAATGGTTTGAGCAAAGCTTTTTTCAAATAGCTAACAAAGTTAATTTCGAATGTTTTGTTTCTTTTATTTTATATATGAATTTAAATACTTAATACTCACTTTTAATTTTTTATTATTCCTTATAAATTCGAAAACTTATTTAAAGAAATTTAATTACATTTAAAATACCTCGCAAATAAGCATGCGGTTAAAAACAGATATAATCTAGTCGTATGAAATATATCCCATACAAATATATAGTAAAAAATGGAAACGTACAAATATTGATTGAAGTTAAATGTGGCAATCACTTGTTAAAGAAGACTCTATTTCAACAATCAAAACAGGACAAGTAACAAGAAGAAATCAATCATTCATATGACAGTTCCTACCTTTTGACATTTCAATGGTATCAAGCTTATTATAACAATTATGACGTCATCATTTTTATAACTAGAGCTGCGAGCTATTTATAGGTCCTTTTTGAATCAGTTATAGTTTCTTTGACCGAAGGCCATTTAAAAACTACTTTGACTTACTGTAACATTTACATTGAATAAATGAATATAACAAGAATTTCTATTGGTGATTTTAAAATTACAAAACGAAATCGGTGATTTCATTGGTGATTCTAGAATAAAATGTAGTGTTCTTGCCAGTCTTAAATAAAATTCAAATGATATTTCTTAAATAAAATGTAATGTATAGTTCGTATAATATAAAGTGAAATATAAAGGGTAGCTCTAAAATAAATGTAAGGATAGTTCTTTAAGCGATACTTGAAACCCTGAGATATTTAAATTTTCTTCACTGCTTTTAGATCTGATTATATTTTCTAGTGAACAGTTTAATTCAAATATGAGCTATCTCAAGTTTGTTTATTTTACACAAGAACTTACTGAGTTATTGTCCAACAATATTGATATGGCACTCTTGCATTTGACCCTATAGTCGATAAAATCCGTAAATCAATATTCTACAATTATTGACTAGTGTGCCATTGAATATGATGTGATATTCACCGGCATATGACATATTGACCAAGGCGATAGCCGAGGCCAATATGAATTTCTGCCGGTGAATATCACCATCATATTCAATGGCACACTAGTCAATAATTGTTTTATGATATGAATAGGCTATCAGAATTTAAAAAAAAATCACAGACAGTACAACTTTATACATGTACAATTTTTGCCTGTCTCGTTGAAGCACGGAAAAAAAGACGTACGTGAAAGGCGTGCAACAACTACGCGAACGCTGCGCATACAAAAATAATTAAAAAGTTTATACTCCTCATTGAAGTCTAACTTTTAACTGTAATTGTAAAGCAATGATATTTTAATCGAGAAATTTACCATAAAGAACAAAACGCAACAATTATATTTAGATTAACAGACTAACATAAATGGTCATTGAATATGAGTCTCAATCTATTTTTAGACTTGGAAAATCCAATTCAGCCAGTGAATATGATACTGCACCCAGTGAATATGATTCTATTAAAAAGTTCTGTTGACTACTGTTTTTACCAATGAAATTGAAGCTATATTTAGATCATATAATAAAATGGAATATAACCAGTTGGTCTAAATTAAATATCCCTCATAGCGCAAAATGATGTGAACTCGTTCAAACGTTCGAATCCTGGTTCAGCCACTTTTATTTCTTCTTTCATTTTAATGTTAAAATTTCCCTTCTCCTAACTAGCGCAAACTGTTGGGTTTGTGTGTGCGTGCATACGTGTAAGTGTGATATTTTTAATAACTGCATATATAGTGTGTATGTGCTAAAGCATAAACATATATATATATATATATATAATTATATGATTGCATAATAACACAAAGAAAACTGTTGAAAAAATATGCGTTCTAGTGAAAAACCTGAGATTGTCCGTACGTCTGAGTATTTACAGAAACATCCATACAAAACAATGGAAACACCTTCATTAACAGGATAGCAGTGTCGGCAGTGCAACTGACACTGCCAGTCGATTCATTGATTCGTATTATAAACGCGCTGTGCATTTTACTACGGATAATGTTATGACATAAAATATATTATTGCTTAAAAAAACTACTTAAAAGTATTCTCAAACTAAATGAAGTACATGATTTCAATTTTATTCTTGCAAATATTTAAAAAAATGTGTATCTTTATAACTAAGTGTTGGGTAAGAATCGAAACAGAGACCTACAGATCCATAGCCCGGCATCTATACCAAAACACGACACCTTGGTGACGTTCCAAATAAACAAATATATCGATATATTCGTTATATACATGACCTTTTAATTATCTCTTCAACTGTGAATACTTTTACTTTTTAATCGTAGTACATTTTTCTAAACGTAGAAAAAGTTTGACTCATATTTGAAGACAAGCAGCTTTAAAGTCTGTGAGACAAATTAAACAAACTATTCATAACAAACTCTTAATTGTTGCACAATCACTCGAATGGAAGTTCCTAGCTACAATACATACAGAAAAAGGCCTTGCAAACCTTGATAATGAATAAGCAAAATTTTCAAATTCAATTTTTTGTAACTTTAACTTAAGTAATGTAAAGTTAAGATAAATTCTGATACATAGTTTCTATTCTACTACATGTTTATATTTGTCCCTAGCCTACGCCTCCGTAAAATATTTAAACATTGGGCATGAATATTTTACATAATTCACATTGATAGTATACACACATAAGCAAATAGACATGTTTGAATAAAAAATAAGTTAGAGTCATATATATCGGCGTATTAAGGCATAACATGAACATGTAATTTAATAAGTTTTGAATATACCATAAATATACAATTACAATCAAAAACAAAATGAAAAACCATTCACTAGACAGGTGAAGTGAACCTTACTATAACTACAGGTTTTATTTACATTTAAATCACGTTTAAAGGTTAAAGAAATTGTTAACAATTGACTTATGAGAAAAAGTATAATCTAAGAGACAAATCCATTCAATGACTAAGATACTTTTGTCTATTCCTCGAGTTAAAAAAAGCTTTAATTGTGCAATTTGTCAACAATAAGTCTGTACAGGAAGGTATGTAAAGAATAGATAATTATGTTGATAGTATTTCGTATTATACATTGCAGATTCTAGGGCATTCTCCCCCCAATACTCGGCCAGTGGCCACATCGGACATTTAGCCCCTATTTTGCTATAGCGATTTGTGACTTGTCAGATGTCATCTGTATACATTTTATGTATGTTATTCTACACTCCATTTCTGATTTTGAAAAAGAAGAAACAAACGGTGTTTAACTGCCAATAAACACTGGTTAGGGACTACTTGTATATGTGGCTGTTATGTTTTCTCCCTCAATTATATACAAAAAAATGTTGTTTACAAAGCCTTTTAAAGGAACAATAAAATAAAACATTAATTAAAAAATTATGATTTTATTGTTGAAAACTAGATAAAATAACTTTTTTCTTATTATTTATTTTGTTTAATAATTTATATCTATTAGCAACAGTAGGGTGCAAAATCGAACAGCGTTACACGACAATCGGCATCGGAAGTTCTTTCTGCTTGAAAAAAAAAACCCAAAAAACATTAGTGACCTTCCTTATCTTATCTTGTTAGAATCGAAATAAATTCGGTCTGAGCGGTGTTTATCGGCTATCTTACACCGGTGTTGCCATTTTAATGCGAATAAATTAACCCCTCGGGTCTACGGCTTACTTGGTCAATTCCTACGCATCAAAACTCCAAACCGGTGTTAAATAGCCGATAAACACCGCTCAAACAGATATTATTTCTTCTGCATTAAACAAACATTATCTTGTTAAAAAAATGTATCCAGATTTTGTAATATTTAATTGCATGTTTTTTTTGTCTGCGCATAGGCAGGTCTATTTTGCAGTTGTTTTTCATGAACGGGTCTGTCTGATAGACCTCATAACGGACTTTCTTTTGTTTGAAGAGGTCCATTCGAAAAATATAGACCTGTCACAAACAATAGAGGAGGTGTGTAATTATTAGAAGCGCTTGTACGTCGTATCAATTGTAAAGAGTATTCTGCGCTTTGATAGCGTTATATAGTGGTTGCGTTTAGATTTTACCATGGTAGCTTGACTTACCAAAGATATACCAATAGTATCATTTTTTGCGGAGAAAATTTGCTATTGGTAAATTATTTGCAGGTAGACTAGTACTATGGTAATGCTAGGAAGTCATTTAAAATGGCGATCCTTACCTGATAGCCATTGTTGCATGAAACTTTATTGTAAATGATAGTGTACATTTAAAAACCAAACGTAAAATACATAATTGCAAAGAAATACATTTATTTTTGATACAATTTATTAATAACAATACAAATGAAAAATAAAAACTGGACCAAACTGAGAATCAAATTATTAATCAAGATCTGTCGGCTGGGGTTCATCTTAGGAACCAAATGTTATTTTGCCAATAACACGAATAATAAGATAAATTACAGAGTAAATTGCCAACAAGTGGTACCAATGGTAATTAATGTTACCAGTATTTTAGTATTGATTCCACTTGAATTACTCTGACCGTATTCATTGTGCCCATATTTGCTCGATTTTTTAAAATTTATATCGTAATTTTCCTCCTTCTCATCAAACGCAAGGGTTTTCTTCCTGATTGCTTTAACTTATCATTCAGTGCTACAACCTTGAAAAGTTTATGAACCTAATTATTTTTCTATACTCTAGTCTGATATACTGTATTATCAAATATAACACACTAAAACTTGTTATTCTTTCTTAGTTACTATAGCAAAAAAACCGGGTATCAGCGTTATTTCCCCCGTCGATGAAATCGGGAGGGGAATACTGTTCTGGTGTTGTCCGTCCGTCCGTTCGAATTTCGTTTCCGCACTAGTTCTCTGCAACAACTGGCTGGAATTCAACGAAACTTTATGGTAATTATCAATATCAAGAGGAGATGCGCATATCGTCGGCTTGTTCCAGTCAGACCCTATAACTTAGATTTATGGCCCTTGATTATTTATGCAGTATGCATATAGAGCAATAATCGTTTCCGAGCAACTTCTCTGCAACTACTTGCTGGAATTCAACGAAACTTTATGGGAACCTCCAATACTAAGAGAATATGCGCATATTATTGCCTTGTTCAGGTAAGACACTTTAACTCAGAGTTATGGTCCTTGATTAGTTATGCAATATGCATATGGAACATTATTCGTGTACGCGCAACTTC